GCTGCGGGGAGGTGGCGGTGGGGTGTGCGCCCACCCGCGCCGGGGGTTGGCGCGGAGCGGCGGAGGCGCTTGGGCGTTGCGGGGCGCCAAGGCGTCGTACTCGCACGAGTCCCAGCGCGGGGCGGCGCACAAAACCGTTACGTGCAGCAGCGGCAGCGGCGGGGCACGTGGCGGCAACCCACGCCCCACGCCACGGGCCCGCTTGCTTTTTCAGGTGGCGCTGGAGCCGTTGAGTCAACAAGCTCCCGGCCACGGCTTCATGTCTTGGCGGCCAAGACGCGTAGCTCCCTGGAGGAGGCCGCGGAGGGTTTTTGCATTCTGAGCGTCGTCGTCTGTTCGCCGTGTACCGCGCCTCCCCGTCCCGCGATGCGTCGTTGGTACCCTCCCCCCCCTACGATTATTTTTGCGTCCTTCGGAGGCTGAGTGCCTGTGGTATGGGGGCGCCTTCCAAGCAAGTGTACTCGTTGCTGGTGGGGTTGCTTAGGAAGCCGCTGCACCCCTCGCAGGCCGGCCTGGGGTGGGATCTCCCGGATGAGGCGGTAGTGGATTTGCAGGCGCGAGCACTGGGGGGCGGTGGTGTCCTGCCTCGAGGGCCGCGACGCCTTGGCGTTTGCGCAGAAGGCCCTCATGCCACTTCTCTCGCCTACTGCCCTCGCGGGCGGCAGTCACTCTAGTGAGTTAGTGTTTATTCAGGCACCTCGTCGGCGGCTGCTGGGTGGCGGCGTTGCCTCCCGCAGGGCTGGAGGCGAGCGGCGGAAGCATTGAGAGTGGATTGCTGGCGACGGCCCCTGTGGTGTCGGCTGCGGCGGCAGCTTTGATTCGGGTGCGACACAACTGCGACAAAGCAACAGGCGATTTAGCTGTTGCAGCTCGCGTCTATTGCCCGGCTGCGCGGCTGGAAATTATTTGATGAGAACGTTCCCGAGAGATGTGCCGAGTCTGCCGCCCTCATTGGCGACGCGGAGACGGTCGCGCGGATCGTATTTGTTTTGTGCCACGCTCTCGCGGTGTGTTGGGTGCGGCGGTGGGGCCGGCAGCGCGCGCCGGTGGAGCCGCAAACGGCGGTGTGGGAGTGACCGTGGCGGCAGCGCGGGAGGTCGTGGCTCGCTGCTGAGCCGTGTTGCTTTGGGTTGGGGCCGTCGGGCCTCCGCGGAGGAGCGAAGGCGAAGGCGACGTGGAGATGTTGCTTTTTGCCGAGCGGCCTTTCGTCTCCTGAAAGGCGTTCTGCACGCGTTGCGCTGCAGCGCCGGCACTCCGCCGTCGACGCTCGTGGCTGCCGTGTGCAAGAAGTTGTGCGGCTTTTTGGCTCGCTGCGCCTGGCGTGCGCGTGGGACGGCGCGGCCGCAATGGCGGTGGGGCTCCTCACGCACGTGGGGGCGGAGGCACGGAGGCGCCTCAGCCGCGAGCCGCAGGATGGGGGTGTGGAGCCGCTCTTTTGCCTTCACCGCGACGCGCTGCGTGTAGTCGCCACACTGCGGGAGGCACTGCCGCCTCAGCCCGCCGCGTACCAGCACTCGGCGTACGCAGCGTGCGCCGCCCCGGCAATGAACTGCTACTTCGTTGCGGCGCCCATCCGCACGGAGAGGGGGACGACAGTTCCAGTGCCGGCGCTGCCTTTGCTCGATTCACGAGACAAGCAGCTGGACTACATTTTCTCCGCCGTAGCCGCGACGTTGGACCTCTTTGACTCCATGACGCCTGAATGGCAGGTA